GATTTGTTGACGTTAAAACCATAATTTTTCTTTATTTTATCTGTCGTAGGGGCGTTACTTTTATTTAACTTTAAAAATTAAAGTTAAAGTGGTACTTTAAACTTTAACTTTAACTTAACCAATTAAAGTTAAAGTAGATATGTTGACATAGTCTTGGATAATCATATTAGGAGGGTACCTTTAAGCCCTCAAGTCCTATATAACAGGGGTACCATTAGGTCCTCAAGTCCTATATTCGGAGGGTACCGTTAAGTCCTCAAGTCCTACATTAGAGAGCACCTTTAGGTCCTCAAGTCCTATATTAGGAGGATATCCTTAGGTCCTCAAATCCTACGTTAGAGAGTACCCTTAAGTCCTCAAGTCCTATATTATAGGGTACTCTGAGGTCCTCTAGTGCTATGTTATGAAAATCAATTAGAATGTCATATTGGAGTATATTAAGGCACACAGAAGAATAAACTGCCTCAACTTAGCTTCTGTGGTAGAAAAAGAGGTGCCTAAATAGTAGAAGACATTGTACAGCCAAAGAATCTAGTGAATCGCCTCGATCGACAATATTGACCACTTTTTGAAGTACACATAACACTCGGATTTAAATCCGAGGTTTTCACATTTAATAATTTTTCTAATAATCCCAATTCTCATTTTGAAGAAATTATTTTTACAAAAATTACAAAGAAATTAAAATGAATAAAGACAAAACTAAACTATTTAGAATATAGAATGCTGCTTTAATTTGATTGTTTTATACGTTTGTAAGGAAAAAAAATTTTTATCAACCTTTATTTCATGTTCAAATCAATATATATCAAGAATTTTTTATGTTTCGCGCCTTTCATAACAAAAAAGTACATAAATTATATAGACACCAAAATACATAAATTACATAGACACTAAAATACATAAATTACGTAGACAATCAAAATAGTTTTACTTTCGTTTTTCAACCTTTATGTATAAAAAATATGAATAAGTAAAAGTTTGAAGAGAAATAAAATAACAGACGAAATTAAAAAACCAAAAAAATAAATCAGAGAGTACGTTTGTTTATTTGTTTTGTTCACGTAACAACATTGAGTATCTTAAAGTAGATGGAGATAAACTAGATCTATTTTTACGCTGGACAAAGCCAGCAATACTGAAACTACTTTCGCAGTCAATAGACGTTGAGCACATAATGTTGTATTTACGAACGATTGAAGACAGAATAGGTAAACAATCTTTCTTTTCATACCAATATTGACTGAAACTTTGATATGAACTAATTGTTGTAACATATTGAGCAAGTTCTTCTTTTATTGTTGATGGTTTGAAAATTGATGTTGTTGTTTGTGGTTCAAAACCACATGCAATAAATAAATTTTGCAAAAAAATTGATTGATTATCTTGTCGTTCATTTTTATTTATTGGTGTTACAGTTGATGATTGATTTGATGATGATGAATTAGCATTTACTTGTGCATAATGAGCTTTGGCTTCATTGATTATAATAGTTTCTGCTTCTATCTTATCATCACAAGGTAAGAAACGATATGTTGATGGATCAAGAAATGACGAAATCTTCAACAAAAGTAGAAAATTAGCAAGATCACAATTTCAAATAAAAATAATTGCTTACACACAATGGGGATCTCTAGTCAATGTATGACATAATTCGTGAGCTGCACGAAGTCAATTTCGACGTCGTGTCCGGCGTCAAATAAAACTCTTGTAAATAATTCATTTTTAACATTAAAATGTTTTTGAGCAGCAGGTTTTGCTCTCCGATATTTAGAAATGCAACAAATCTTAAAAGTATTTTTATTTGGGAGCAAGGCCATGGGAGGGTGTGGGTGTGGGGG